TATATAGTTGGACGTTAGATGTTAAAACATATTTAATAAATTATAATAGGTAGGTAGTTGTATTATTGTCATAGGCGTGCGCAGAATTGTTTGCACTGTTTGCAGGGTATGCAGCTGATAAAATATGTCCCTCTCCCATAGATATAAATTACCAAAAAATTAATGTACATGACATTTCATCCTAAACTTCTGGTTATTAATTTGTATTAGAATAAAAATAGGTTTTTCATATATTTTTTTTTTAATTCAATGATAATTAATTTTTTTACAAACATGTTTATTGAAATGAAAATTTACACTAAACATAATTGTTATAACTCAAGCCTTCTCTTTCCTGGTATAAAGACTTCAAATTCTTTAATCACATCCTCTGTGTCAAATGTCAATTTCAATAGACATTTGTTATTCTATGACTATCAATAGTCATAATTGCAATTTGATTACAAACACTCGGTAAAAATATTTTTCCAGTGTTTTCTGGTCAGTCATGCTGGTATTATATTAGTACAGAGCAAATTAAATTTATATATTAGTATCAACTATTCAACTATTGTAATAATAACATGAGACTTTTCAGTATTTAGATATTGTAAAGTTAAAAATGTAACCATCGTCATTTTTGTAGGAAAATATAAATAGTTAATACCTACACTAAAAATAAAACCGATATTTCCTTATTGAGTATTAAGAACCGTCCACAATGAATTTAAAAACAAGTCTATACTCTATACTGATATCGCATTACCATTTTATAACCACTATCTAACCAGTCGAAATTATGAACYGAGACATTGTTCATGTGCCCCCAAGCGTCTGCCCGCTGGGTATGCAAACGCATACCCTGTGCGCACTCCTATGAGTATTTTTATTAATATTTCTAACTATTATATATATTAATAGTACCTATAATATATCTTACTGTTTATAGCGTATACCCTGAAAACTAACCACTAAACATAAAATAAATGGCGAGAGAGTGATAGGTACCTCAAAAAAAAAAAAAATGTAAGATATAGAGTAGATGGCATGCGTATTAAATATTAATAGCAAAATGTTTGGTATAGGTAATAGTAAACTAGTAACTAGTAAGTAGGTACTCACTATACTCACTACTCAGTACTTTTAAATGGAAATATGAGACAATTATTTTATTTACCGGATGAGCTCATATTATAGTAATTTAATATTGTAAATTTGTATTGATGTAGTATAGGTATATATACTTTTATCTATCTTTATTAAACATATATTAATCTTATTTGTTACTAGAATATGATTAAGTAGGTATTAATATTATTATTTATTTATTTTATAATATAGGTACTACTTAAATACTCGCATTAAGAATACAAAGATCAAAGACATTAATATGTTGATGATGATATTATTTATAGGCATTATAGTTATATTACTGTAGGGACTTGCTTTATTCTCCGAGGGGCAAGATACATTATAAAATATTACAAATTTGAATATTATAATATTATATTATTTTCTGATATTTGGCCGATCACTTCCACAGTTGATATC